CCCCTCACACTCGCACCACAACCCAACTTACGACCGGGTGTAGCAAGGACCAAGGTTGCCTGCGCTACTCCCGACGTCCTCATTATCTGGGAGTATGATCATTACGCATGCGCATCACGGCACTTAGCTCTATCATGCCCATCACACTGTTAATTTACCGCTACAACTCAAGCCACACTCGCACTTACCACCCTGACCTCCGGGTTATGTTAACTCCCGCTAATAACGTTACGAGGTATAGTCTCTTTTTTTTCCATTTCTTATATGGTTCTTCACAGCGTAATGTAGCTACGACACAATAACATATCTCTTAACTATCTTCCCCTTTTATGGGCGTGCTGCGGGCTGTGTTGCTCAGTGTGTGTTGTAATGAGGAGAGCGACACACACCCGGGCTCTGTAGTCTCTTCTTACTGCAACTGTCTCATGGATGGTCGGACAAGACAGTTCCGACCCAAGCCTGTAATACAAATGATCCCATAATGTTCTGCTGCTGTTATTGCTGTTGTTACTGCCGCTATACATTGCTGCTGTTACTATTGCTGTCTAGCGTCACCCTCTCCCTCCCTCACTCCTCCTCGCCATCACCACAATAGTTCATGATCAGCTGACGACCATCAAGTCTGAGGATGGGGGGGGGGGAGGTGTGTGAACGTTCGTAACTGACACTACCTCCTCCGTGTTAGGCTGTGAGTAAATATAACCCTTTGTGTCCACTTCATCATACAATACCTAGCTCAAAACATTGCTGGGGTGGAGAGGATTCGTTAGCTGTGTACAAAAAGCTTAGCTTTCCACATTTGATGACTGTGCTCCCAGTTTAATGATTCCCAGCTTAATGTCGGCGAAACCTTCATGCGGTTCCCAATTTGGCACGGACACAAAGCTTTGTGTGATTCCCTGTTCGGTATGCCCCTTGAGCCCAGTGCCGACTAGAGCTTGGTGTGCCCCCCCCCCCCACAATCTGGTGTTGCGTACAGTTTGGAGCCCCCTCTCCCCAGCTTGGTGGGTTGGTGTGCGTGCAACGGCATCCTCCCCCACTCCCTACACAATGGGCCACATCCCGGACACTGTGTTTAACACCAATATCAACCATCATTACCCGCCCTTGTCACTCACCACCTGTAATCACCTGTTGTCCAGCCTCACACGTACTCAATACTAAGTTGCCACACATCTGTCACGTCAGGCGGCTATACCGAGACAAACATTGAAAAAGGGACATTTAAAGATACTTGGAAGCAACCCGTCACTGGCCAGAGCAGAGATCCATGGGTAGAGTAGAGGCCCGTGGACAGAGTAGAGTATGTTCAGTCCAAGTATAGGCAGCACCCTATGGCGGTAGACGGGTGAGACACAGGGACTAGGCATCACACCTCGCTCACCATCACCCCACCTCGCTCACCATCACCACACCTAACTCACCATCACCACAAACACCTAATACCACCAGTGACCCTGATTTGTTATTCACAGTACCAATAACCTCGACACAATTCTACTCATCATCTTAGCAATACCTAAATACTAAACAGTAAACGTCAACATCCCAAGTTTACAATAAAAAGGAATGAACGAATTAAAAAAATCGTTTCATCAGTGTCAGACCAATGGAATTCTCTTGTCAACGCTACACTTGTGTGAAGGGGGAAGGAGCAGTGTTTAACTGTGCTCTTACACGTCACCGCAGGCGCCATATCGTACCCCCGCTACCATCTCCAGTAACCCCGTCACGTCCACCAACAACAACAAAGACCCTCCAGGTGACCGTCGGAAGCAAGAGCTTATCCCATAAACAACGACAAATTAAAGCCCATAAAACGACACCACATCTCTATTTTCCCACACCCACCGTGCTATCAACACCTGCTACTTGCCCCAACCAGCCAGGGCTTTATCACCCCTAATTACTGCTAAGTGTGGTTATTACCCACATATTTCATGAAACTCACACTTCCATTGGTTGGCCAAATAGCCAGACTCCGTAAAAAATGACTCTACAACGACAACACCGTCTTGGTCCCCGCCTGCTGCCAACACGCTACCTGCCCTCTAACTCCCTCCTCCTCCTATTGGTGTTATCGGGCCGCCCACCTCCCCCTGTTGGTTTTATCGGGCCGCCTACCTCATGATACTGTTGCTAGAATTTTTATTGGGCACTTCCTTGCATCCTGTTCAAGGCGAAGCGCAAAAACTTTTACAGCGCCCAACAGGGAATCATGCGGAGTTCATGCTTGCCTCCTTTGACCCATGCGATAAAGGACTCAAGTGCCTCAAGGACCATGGATTATGTCGGCAAGTTGGTGTTATCGGGTTGCCCACCCCATGATGCTATTGCTACTACTGTTGGCATTAATAGAACGCCCACCACCACCGTTGCCCCCCCCCTCCTATTCTTCAACCCCTGACACCCCCCCCCCACACCACTCCGCCACCACCAACTGCCACAAAAATAAGTCCTGTGATATAGTGGGGAGCGGCGGCAATCTCTCACAAAGACACACATCAGTTACCTGGCTCTATATCACAGACCGCGACACTTTGCCACACCTCACCTACCAATTACTCCGCGTTGCCCTCAACCTTAAAACACTATGTTCTCTGATACTACTTAAGGTTTATGTCTAACCTCCACTTGACGGTACAGTATATCCCACATTCTAGCGTCCGTTTCGTGTCTGTGAGGAATTCCATCGTGTAAAGATTAAAACGTCAGACTTCCTAATAGCAGTTCGTCAGCATATACAGGTTGATCGAAAAGTCCCTGTGCACCAGTTGTTCCTTGTTATACCTACACTGTTGTAAGTATAACAAGGTAAATAGCCATAGTGTTGATTTCGGCTGGTGCACAGGGACTTTTCGATCACCATATATAGTTTGATACCCCTCCCCCCAGCGCCTCTAAGTTCCAGCCAGCACAGTGTTGACGGCTCGCCGGCGCTCACAACAATTTAAATGTTTAAAGCGAGTTTATATGAACAGTGATGCTCTGGTAGGTTTTACACGCCCACAGTTTCACCGGCCAGAGCTGAGTAGTGATGTTAATACACAATAATGTTCAGTGGCGCGGTGTATCTGCTTTGTACAGTACAGCGTCATCACCGACTGGAAAATTTTAATTGATATATATATCTATATATATATATATATGAATCGTATGACTATATATTATAGTGTGTGTTTGAGACAGCGATGCACGAGTTGTGTGAAACATATGCCTTTATATCCAACATTATTTATACATTTCATCAACATCCGCCAGAACACAGCCAGACATCACACACACACAGCACAAGGTTCTCCTTCACGGCTGCCTCCATCAGGTAGTAAAACGGCCGTATACCCTCCACCACACTCTGCATACCGCGCACACACACAGTCTCACTTATCTATATAGCACGAAACTACTTCTTTACTGATTCAAGAAGTAAAAAAAAATCGTTTCATGTGTTCAGTACAGCAGGATGATCAACACGTGGGTCTCGTTACTCAGGTGTGCACTAAACCCTCCTTCACCTAACCCGGGCACATTCAAACTTAAATACCCCCCCCCACCAAACCACCTCCCCGGTATGTTTTCAGGAGCTGTTTGTTGGTTGGTTCCTCATTACTGTAACTCGTAACCGGTATGTAAACAGGAAATAGACAACCACGTCAACAAGACACACAGCGGGGGTAATTTGGCGAGTCTCAGCAGGAAAAAAGCCACTGAGAGAGAGAGACCTGCCATGTACCCAGGACCAATCTCACTAGGCCATCTCTCTTGCTCAACCCTCCTCCGTCTCTTTCCACTCCTATCATAACACAATTACCTAGTTTCCTCTCCCTACCGGTCATTAGCTATTATAATCTATTGGAAGCTTGCCTTACTAGGAAATATATTAACTTTCACAAGAATAAAAATAAAAAGGTTACCTGAAGATTAGACAACCTAGCTTATTTCACCTGAACTTTAAGCACCCTGGTTTATTTCACCTGAATATTTGGCACCCTAGCTTATACCACTAGAAGATTGAGCACTCTAACACTATCTGGGGGAAATTAGGTTAGGATAGTGTTAAGGTAATTAATCTTCAGGTGAACTAAATTGGGGTGTCTAATCTTCAGGTGACATTCGCCCCCCCAAAAAAAAAATAAAATAAAAACATTAAATAAAATAGATGCCCCTCACTAATGCTATACGTTGTAGTATTTCGACCATTGTTAGTTCAATTATCAAATACGTTACTAGGCTTGTTGTTCCTCCCCCCCCCCTCCCTCCCTACTCTGACGGTGACAAATTATACCAGGCAGTTGTGTGTGTGCCTTTATTTTCCCTGCTACCTGCTATTGAAGCCTGCTCCTGCTCCCTACTCCCGTTGCCTGCTATTGATATATGCAGCTGGCTAAAACATTGCACAGGCTAACAGACCACAGACAGCTAACCAACAGACAATATTACCAATAGAACAGCTGACACGCAGACCAAATTAACATCTGACAAGCTAATGAAGCAATTCAGACTAACACACACACACACACACTAACATGCACGTGCACCATACTAACAAGACACAAACACTAACAAGCAAGGAGGGGGAGGGGTGCAGGAGGAGTCTACAGATTTAGTTAGACTGCCCCACTCTACTGCCGACGCTCAATCTTAGGCCCAACTCACCCGGCGAATACTAAGCACCACTCCCTCAATTTGCCCACTTGCCACGCACGTGACCCCAATACCGATGACCACCGCCAGGGGAGAGGGGATGGGGGGGCTGGGAAGGGGAGGCGTAAGGGAGGAAAGGGGGAGGAAGGTGCTAGAGGAAGGGGGAATATAATAGTGGAGACTTGACTACTGACACACAAGCAACTTTGGTCAAGAAAATCCGAAACAATGTACAGGATTGTCCTTTCTGAGGCTGCCTATGGTAGTCGTTTTTACCAGTCTTGCATCTTGTAAATATTGCACACGCACACACGCACGCACACACACACACACACACACACACACACACACTATACCTGTATCTCCCTGTAACTCCCAGCACTCTTACGAACCTGCAAAGAAAACAAACACAATGTTAACTTGACAAACATCGTCACCATCACTTAACAATACAATAAACACAATCAGAATCATTATCACATATATATTTGGAGTCACCTGAAGATAAATCACCCTTACGCTACCTGGGGGAAGATTAGCCTTGGATTATATTAGCATTAGGTTGGGGTTAGATTAACGTTAGAGTGTTTAATCTTCAGGTGATTTAAATTGTTTCTTAAGTCTATTTCTATATACGGTATAAATTGTACACCTGAACAGCCATCGAGTGACGCTTGACAATATAAAGTCGAGGTTGTCACTGGCGTCCTCACAAAAGACTTTACACGTTGTTATTTTTACCTCAGAGTTTCAGGTAACAGCTGCAATTACCTGACAACTAACAGGCTGACGTCACCAACATCTCCCTCCCCTTACCGTGTGTGTGTGTGTGTGTGTGTGTGTGTGTAGGAACATGTGCGCACAGGTGTTTCCGACTTTTATGTACGGGAGGGAAGCAATAAACTCACAGTATATCTCTACTACGACAAACACTAAAACGTGACAAACCGGAACACGAAAAGAGAGAGAGAGAGAGAGAGAGAGAGAGAGAGAGAGAGAGAGAGAGAGACCCACCCACCCTGGTATTCGGCAAAGACCGTACACTACAGGGACTAACTCTCCTACCTGCCACAGTAAGGTAAACACAGACCTCGGCGGGCTTAGAGAGAGAGTACCTGTACCTGGCCGATTACTTTCAACACATAACACAACCTAAGACTGGAAGGGTCAGGTACTTGCATCATCAGCTGTTGACGTCTTACACATTATTTCTCTGTGTGGAGTCCTTGATATATGTTAAACTATAAATAGGTTATCTTACTGGGTTAAAGTTAAATGCGTTTAATAGCCGTAATAGTAATAATAATAAATATTAATAACAAATAAAAAAATAATAATGAAAATAACTGCAAAGATAATAATAATAATAATAACAAAAACAACAATAATAATAACAATCGGAAATATCAACAACAATAAAAACAAGAATCACAAATATCAAGAAATAATAACAATAAAAATAATCTTCAGGTGATCGCAACACAGCATTCAGTTTACATTACCAAGCAGATCACTCCTCGGGGTGTGTCCATTAGCACACAAGACCTCGCCGGCCACAACGGTTTCCTAACTATGTGTGGCTCAGTGGTGATGAATTTCAGATGAACGAGGCAATGTGTTCCTTTAGTCCAACTGGATACAGTGGTAGTGATGTGAAGAATAAAAATGAGGAGAAAGAAGAGGAATAGAAAGAAGAAGAAGAGGAATAGAAAGAAGAAAGAAGAGGAATAGAAAGAAGAAGAGGAATAGAAAGAAGAAGAGGAATAGAAAGAAGAGCAGCAATAGGAAGAACAAAGAGGAAAATAAGTAGGACGAGGAGGAGGAGGCGAAAGAAGAGGAATAGGAAGAAGAAAAACTAGGAGAAGGAAGAGCAGCAGCAATAGAAAGAAGAGGAGTACTAGTATTATGTAAACGACATGGCTATGATAGTTGTAGCCACCTGTGTGTGTGTGTGGGGTAAAAGTCACCTGTTCCAATACCTGTGGGGGTCACCTGTTCAATATACACTGTAGGGGTCACCTGTTCAATACACTGTGGGGGTCCTCTTCAATACACTGTGGGGTCACCTGTTCAATACACTGTGGGATCACCTGTTCAATACACTGTGGGGATCACCTGTTCATGCTGTGGGGTCCTGTTCAATACACTGTGGGGGTCACCTGCTCAATACACTGTGAGGTCACCTGCTCAATAGACTGTGGGGTCACCTGTTCAATACACTGTGGGGGTCAACTGTTCAATACATAATGGGGGTCACCTGTTCCAATACACCGTGGGGTCACCTGTTCAATACACCGTGAGGAGGTCACCTGCTCAATACACCAGGGTCACCTGCTCAATACACTGTGGGGTCACTGCTCCAATACACTGTGGGGGTCACCTGTTCAATGCACTGTGGGGTCACCTGCCAATACACTGTAGGGGTCACCTGCTCAATGGGCCTGTGGGGGTCACCAGTTGAATGCACTGTAGGGGTCTTTCTCAATACACTGTGGGGTCACCTGTTCAATACACTGTGGGGATCCTGTTCAATACACTGTGGGGTCACCTACTCAATGGAGCTAGGGTCACCTGTTCAATACACTGTGGGGGTCACCTGCTCAAATAGACTGTGGGGTCACCTGCTCCAAAATACACTGTAAGGGGTCAACTGCTCCAATACCTGTGAGGGGGTCACCAGTTTAATACCTGTGAAGTCCTTGTTCCAATACACTGTAGGGGTCACCTGTTCAATACACTGTGGGGTCCTGTTTAATACACAAGGGTCACCTGCACCTGCTCAATACACTGTGGGGTCACCTGCCTGCTTAATCAATACACTGTGGGGGTCACCTGCTCAATACACATCAACAGAAGGGGGTGGAGGAGTCGTGAGGATCTACTCGGAGGCGCATGACTCTTAGCGCTAAAAATGTGCTTTGCAACGTGCGCTTTTGCAATGTTGCGAGCACGAATCTGCCTCGTTACTACCACATCCTGGCGCCCGGCCCAACCCCCATCCCTGGTGCAGGAGACGGAGGGGCCAAGCCAAAACAAAACTGCCTAATGGGAATGTATGTGACGCGTGGCACTAACATTACGCTCACCACACTCCCTATCTTCCCTCTCCACCAACACTCCCCTCCTCCCTCCCTCTCCACCAACACTCCCTATCTTCCCTCTCCACCAACACTCCCCTCCTCCCTCCCTCTTCACCAACACACCACAACACTCCCGTCCCTCAGGTCCCTCCCCACAAGCATCCTCCCTCGCAAACATTTCACTCTTAATTCCCTCCTCGACATAAACAAAAACAAAAAACCCTCGAGTGAGTCGTTTATGCACTGGAGTTGCTGTAGACTTGCAGTATAATTTGAAACGTCAAGTTGGAGAAGAAGAAGAAGAAAAAAGACGTGTGTTTGAGGATAAAACAAGCGCATGCTCCCCATCTCCAGCTGACAGAGGGTAAACTGGCGGTAATTCTATACACGACGCACAAAACAAACATTTACACGAGTTTAATTCACGGGAACAAATTTAACTCCATTTGCTGACGTAGCTAAGTGATGGTCGTGAGGCCACTCTTAATACACCAGTCTCCCCCCTTGCCCTCCTTCCCTCACCATTGTAAAGAAGAGAGAGGAAAGGTGCGACATCAAGTTCCCTCCCTCCTTCCTTCCTTTACAGACGTTGAAGGAAGGAGAGAAGAAAGCGACACTGGTCTCCCTCCCTCTCTCCCTCCTTCCTTCCTTCCTTCCTTCCTTTACAGACGTTGAAGGAAGGAGAGAAGAAAGCGACACTGGTCTCCCTCCCTCTCTCCCTCCTTCCTTCCTTCCTTTACAGACGTTGAAGGAAGGAGAGAAGAAAGCGACACTGGTCTCCCTCCCTCTCTCCCTCCTTCCTTCCTTTACAGACGTTGAAGGAAGGAGAGAAGAAAGCGACACTGGTCCCCTCCCTCTCTCCTCCTTCCTTTACAGACGTTGAAGGAAGGAGAGAAGAAAGGACACTGGTCTCCTCTCTCTCCCTCTCCTTCTTCCTTCTCACAGACGGAAGGAAGGAGAAAAACCACTGGCCTCCTCACCTCCTCCTCATTTCTTCCTCACAACATTGGACTGAAGGAAGGAAGGTAGAAACACACACACACACACACACACACACACACACACACACACACACACACACACCAAACTCTGAGAAGTGGTGGAGAAAGAAGGACAGGAGAAGGATAGCTAAAAGGAAGAGAAGTGTAGAGAAAAGAAGCAGGAAGAAAACGACTAAAAGAAAGACTCAAGGAAGCGAAAGATAACCGGGAGAAGAGAAGAGAAAAGAAAAGAGAAAGATAACCGGGAGAAGAGAAGAGAAAAGAGAAAGATAACCAAAAATATAAGAGGAAGAGAAAACGAGGAGATAAAAAGAAAAAAAAAGTGACCAAATCATAACTCTGAAAATCCACTTACTCAAACGTCATTAAAGTTAAACCAAATAAAACCTCAAGTGAAATAAGCTCTCCCTCTGCCAATTCCTTTTTTGACTTCTTTGGTGATTTTGTATTCCTTTATCTGACTGACACACACACAGAAAGGGGGCTAGGGGATGAGGAGAGGAGTGATAGGTAACTGAAAGATAGATAGATAGATAGATGGGTAAAGACGGATAAATTTATGTACAAGTCTATAATACCAATATACAATTATAAAAACATACAGCCAGAACCATTACACCAGCATACAATATATACAGTATATATACATGATCTATACTACAAGCTATACAGTATACACGTCAGGAAAATCACCATTATTCCGCATTAATTCGAGTCTATTGTTTCTATACAAGACGAGCAGCCAAGTAGGTAGTAGGCAGCTACCAAACAGGGCGGTACTACCGCCTGGGAAGATATTGGAAGCATAATGTGTTGTCTAATGGTAGACCCTGCTGCCATATGGCATCACGAAAATTGTGACCAAGTCCCAGGTTGCTGATCTGACTTTCTGCCTCATTTACACACAATTGCAGGGTCTCAATTGTTTCTCTTACTATTGACACACAATATATATATATATATATATATATATATATATATATATATATATATATATATATATATATATATATATATATATATATATATATATATATATATATATATATATTTATATATATATATATATATATATATATATATATATATATATATATATATTTTTTTTTTTTTTTTTTTTTCCTCTCACTTTTGAACTTTTTTATATTTCTTTATGGTTCTTTATTATTATTATTATTATTATTATTATTATTATTATTAAAGCTGAGTCTTACGATGTTTCCAAGTATATTAGACTGCTGTAGAAAGTGTGTGCGTGTGTGTCCTTTGGACCTGCACTTACTGGCAATCAATTATATATAAAATGCTTAGTAAATCACTGAATCTGAATGTGTCAATTAACATGTATAAATAAGTCTCCCCTCT